CCTCCTCCTCCTCCTCCTCCTCCTCCTCCTCCTCCCCCTTCTCCTCCTCCTCCTCTTCCCTCTCCTCTGCGGCAGCAGCAGCAGCAGCAGCAGCAGCAGCAGCAGCAGCAACAGCAGCAGCAGCGCGCTGGGGGCGCCGACGCCGTGTGCCACGAAGGCCTCCTGCGGCGGGCCGGCCGCCATCGGCGGCGGGACGCCCGCGGCGGCCGCGGCGGGGCGCGGCGGCGGCCCCGCGGCGGGGCGTGGCGCCGGGCGCCGGGGCGCCGCAAGTGCGAGGCCGGCGCGGGGCCACGGCATGGGACGCCAGGCCTGAGCCGACCAGGGCGGGGACGGTTTCCCCCGGGGCCGCAGGCGACCCGAAGAGGGGAGGGCGAGGAGGAGGAGGAGGAGGAGGAGGAGGAGGAGGAGGAGGAGGAGGAGGAGGAGGAGGAGGAGGAGGAGGGAGGAGGAGGAGGAGGAGGAGGAGGAGGAGGAGGAGGAGGAGGAGGAGGAGGGGGAGGACGCCAGGCATGGGACGCCAGGCATGGGTGGGCCACGGGCCCCGCTCGCTCTTGTGGGGCGACGAAATCTGCAGTCGAGCCTGATTGGGCAGGACGCGCGAGAGGGCACGATGGAGCAGAGACCGACCGTTCCAGCATTACTATAGGCCTACAACGAAGTGTTCTGAGAAGCCAAAAATGATCGAATAACAAAAACAATGTTCTTAGAACATAAGCCAGAAAAGGAAGCGCAGATCCAGAAAAGGAAGCGCAGGTCCAAGAAGTTCGCGCGGAGCGCCAACAGTTTCTGTTTAGGGCGTTCTTTTCTCCTGTGTCTCCTCTGTGTCAGCATCGTGGGACACCCATGGTGCGAGGACGGCCTCGCGGATCATGTTCCTGGGGTCGTGGGGGCGGGAAGGGAGTCGGGGGCACAGCGGGGAAGGGTCAGGGCATCGTGGGGCAGGGAACCGGCGTCGGTCACGGCCAGGGTTTGGGCAGGGGTCGTGGTCGTGTTCGCGGTGTCCGCGCAACGCCACGGCGCGTGCTGCGCAGAGGCCGCTCGGCCCCGTTCGCTTTGGTTGAAGGGGCCCTGGGACACACAAATAAATACACACAAATAGCAAGAGTCCCCATATCTTCCTATATTTTCTGGGTTTTTGTCCTCCCCCCCCCTCCCATATTTTCCCATATTTTCCTGGGAGTCGACGATTAATTGTCTCTGTGTTTTTGTCCCCTCCTGAATTGTGGGGCGACGACATCTACAGTCGAGCCGGATTGGACATGGCACGCGAGGAGGAAACCAGATCCTCCCGAGGGCCACATTGCCATAGGAATGTAGAAAAGCATAGGTCGCGAAACACAGGACACGAGGGTGCCCTTGGTTTGGCAGGGTCGGCCTACCAAAGAAAGCTCGACGGCATACGTATGCACGGCTTCCTGGCCAGGCCCGTGCTGAACCCAGCAGCGGCGTGTACGCCACGCCCTTCTGGCCCAGGCCGAGAGAGCGTGTATACACAGCTCCTGGGTTCAGGAGGGGCCCAGC